TTTTAATTTAAAGTAATGTAAAAGTACATACATATATCTATAGAATAATGAATCACAGTCAATCAAAGAATAATTAAAGTAACATGTAATTAATGGAAATTTTTTCCGATATTTTCTATCATTCACATTTGTAGTTCATTATAAGAGAATTTAATTTGAATTTATTTTAGTCTTAAATAACATAGAAGTTTAGTTTTTTTTTAATGACAATCTATGACCGAAAATTTCGAGGTGGTGGAGAAAATTTGTAGCTCAGGTGGATGATTGTGGTGGTGTTTCGTTCTCTGAACTAGGTTGTTTTGGTTGTGGAGATTTCATTGTTCGTCTACTGAACAACATTATCAGCACAAACTTCAGATGGAAGTGAAGTATTCGAATTTCTGCACGTTTGACCTGTAGCTCGTTCTGCTAACCTCGAATATATATAACATTGACTACCACCCTCTCTATCGCAGACTTTACCCGGGATCTATACAATAAGCTGATAGACAATACCTGACTTTATGTTTTAATTTTAGGATGTGATCTGGTTTACTAATTGGTAATCCCTCAATTACTCTAGTTAAAGTCGAGCTAAACTACAACATGGACAAGTCCTGTGACGTTTTTTACTTGAACGCACTGAGTTGTCTACAGTAGAATCTGTCAAAGCCAAAATGTGTTTGAAAATTCTGAAATTCACCAACCTCTGTATCAGATATCACTGTCTCATCCTTGTGATCAGCATGAATTAGAAAATGTCCAGATAGATTGTCTATCTATGAGAACCCGGCTTAGTTTAAACAACACCCGTTCAAATGAAAATCGTTTGCACTATTCCGTTAATATTAATTTGACTGAACTTCATTCGGATATATGCATTCTAAAAAAATTTTCTTACACATAATTGGTCAGACGTTTATGTATGAGATTCAACGTGATCAATAGAGTAATAAGGGACCCTTATTTTAGAATATTTGCGATATATAACAAAACCGTGTCAAGTTTCTGCGTAACAACGACTCCATCACACATTATTCTGAGCCTAATTAGAATTCGAAGTACAACACGTGGTTCTGAGTTTAGTACCGATCCATATGTGCCTACTAGGGCACGAATTGGGTATTTTCGGGCGTCCCCAGTAAGTGTGCCAAATATAAGTCATTTGAGACTTACAAAAGTTGTGTCCGAGAGTCATTGGATATATTTACAACCGCAAACTTCATCGCATTTTAAACCAGAGTTTGTAAACACTGCAGTGACGCGCATCTACCTGAACAGTGTTGCTGTGTGAATTATCCGTTAGATGTTTTCAGCTGGATGTACGGGTTTTGAATCTCCGAGTAAATGTCACATGGTGGTCCCTTGCTACTCAAATTTTACCTATTCTCAATAACTTTAGCTTAGGTAAAGGATTATGAGTTGCATGAGGCATATGTAAACATTCCAGTCTCAGCACTCGAGGAACTGAAAAAGTTGTAAGCTAAACAATGAATATTCACGACTTCTCCCAGTTCGCTGATAACGAGCTTCAGTTACTTACCTACTCACTAAAGCTTGGATAATCTACATTATTTATATCAAATCACTTCATTTATTTCGTGGAATTGTTTAAGTTTTGTGGAAAAAAAGGAGGGTAAATAAACTGGTGTCGATAACCTTTAGGCTGCATTTGCTGTCCAAATAATGATTGAATAGGCTTCCATGCAGACCTTTTAACATAAGTTAAGAACGCTTATCGGCACATCCATAGCGAACGAAACCATATTATATGATGTAGGATTGAGGTACCCAATTAATATCATCAATACATTACTCACTTACTAACTTTTGCCTGTTACGCCAAATCGAGTATAGGTTGCCGACCACCATTATTCAACCTACTCTGTCCTCAGTCAGCTGCAACGTAGAACTTCGTACGTATGTACATAAGTTCATGTTGCCATACCACATCAGCACAGAGACGCAAATGTCAAATCATATCCCATAGTGATAAAGATAGTAGAGGTATTCATGGTAATGAAGAATAGGGTTCGAAGATATTATTCGAGAAGTATAATTCAGTGAAATAAGGTTAAAAAGACAAAGGTAGAGGTGCTGACGATTCCAGAAGATTAGGATTTGAGAGAGCTCAACGAATGGATGCACTTGCGCCATTGCAAACGATTTTGAGCCATGTCGTTCAAGGTCTCTAACCATTGGTGACATTCGTCTCGCTAACCCCAACCAGGTAGTCTACATCTACTATCATGACTCAGTCCACTTGTCCGTGACTTCATGGATTCCTGCCATGTTTTGGCCGCCCCTAACTTTCTTTCAAACTACTCCTACACCACAAAACATAGCTCGTCGAGGCAGTCGGTGGTTAGCCATACGTAACACATGTCCCAACCACCTCAACTGATGAAGTTTCACCACTTCATCGATTGATCTGCCATCCTTACCTAGAACTCGTCTCCTAACGACAACATTGTTTACTCGGTTGTCCCACGGTATAGGAGCAATGATTCTTAAACATCTATGATCGAATACAAGTAACCTACGAACATCTACTCTTGATGGCCATGTTTCGCATGCATATAAGAGAACGGAGCGAACTACTGCACAGTACACCCGTCCTTTGGTTAGAGAACGGATATCACGCCTACGCCATAAGTGACGCAGGTTGGCAAAAGCCAGTCGAGCTTTCTGTATCCGTGCTGAGATTTCGTCAGTCACCAGGCCATTAGCGCTGATGAGACTACCCAGATAAGTGAAGCGATTAACACGCTCGACTACTTCACTCCCTATCACTAGTCCAGGTGCCGGTGCAACCCAGTCTTGAAGCAACATTTTGCATTTCGAGGGGGAAAGCCGCATCCCGAACATGCTCACATTGTTGCTTATGGTAGTCAGAAGACTGCATTTTGTCAGCGTCTTCACCGAATAGAACTATGTCATCGGCATATTCTGGATCAGTAAGCAACTTTCCTGGTAGAAGGTCAACCTGGGATAGTCTCACTCACATTCGGGTTCCTAATACCGGTTTCTTTAATAAGGTCGAGAATTTGTCTAGCGTTGCCTATCGCCGCTGCCTTTTACATCGCTTTTGATTTCGCCAACCGCCACTGTTCGCGGTAGTTACGTAGGCTTTTTATAAATCTGCGCCTAAGCTGACCACGCTCTTCATCATGTTCAGAGTTAGGTGGGATGCGTTTTCGGGCATCCATCAGTTCGGTGGATGCGACTGAAATCCACGGCTTCATCCTAGCCTTATGGTTTAGCTTACTAGCAGATATCACTGCTGTTTCTACAGCCTTCTTAATATGATTCCAACATGCCTCCGGATGGGAATCACTTGCATGATCGCATAACTGTTTTTCTAGTTCCTCCTGAAATACTTTCTTAGCTTATCATCAAGTAAAGCCCTAAGAGGCTTCATTACGGTATCTTTCCTACGTCCAATAAGCCTCAGACAAATACGCGCTCGCACTAGGGCATGATCTGAATCTAAACATGTGTCCCAGAATGAGCGGCAGTCTTCTATCGAACCCCTCCATCGGTGGCTGATGGCGATATGATCTAGTTGTGTCCAACGTTAAGACGATCTTGGGGGTCGCCAGGTCAAAAGATGTTTTTCCTTATGCTTAAAATTAGTGTTTCCTAGAAATAGGCGGTTATCTGAGCACAGTTGCAACAGACGGTCGCCATTGTCTGTTCTCTCAGTCGCTACACCATAACATCCACCTAGGTGTCTTTCATTTCCACTCAGTCTACCTACTTGAGCATTGAAGTCACCAGCCATTATAACTATATCAGAGCGCTTAACTTTTTGGAGGAGGTCCGAAAGCTTTCTGTAAAACCCATCTTTTACATCGTCTGGACTGCAGTCAGTGGGAGCGTAGGCTGATATGACGAAGAGGCAACAACGAGTGTCCCTATCCTTTCGAATCCTTACTGTCACGTTTAGTCGGACGGCGCACAAGCGACTATCTACAGGGATCCAGTCAAGGAGAGATTGTTCTGCCCTACGACTCAATGCTATACCTACACCAGCGAGACCCCGGGAAGCAGTATCAGGACTACCGGATACACGAAGAGTAAATCGAGCTGCTTCTTTATCTTGACATGATGAGGTTAAGTGAATGATGCTACTCGGATCCTGTATGCGCGTTTTCGAGACGCAGCACACATCGATGGCACGAGATTCTAAAGTTCTAGCTAATGATGCCTGTTGCCCTATTTGACACAATGCCCGTACATTCAATGCTCCAACATGTAGTCTAGAGCGGGGTTCCAGGAGACCAGAAATGACGTTTCGCGAACTCGCATCGTTTGTATTAGCTGTGCACTGTGATAAAGGAATGTGAGAAGAGTTAGTCGTGGAGATAAGAGAGGTATTAGGGGGTGTAGGAAGGATTTGATTTTGACCAAACTGGCCTCGCGTGTTGTTACGGATATGAGGGCGGTTATCACTTCCCGGCTGCCCACAACATGAAAGGTTGTTTCTTGAGGAACCTGAAAATGAAAATAGATTATTGATGGTCTTGGAGACCCGGGTGCGCGACCGCAGAGCCCAAGGGACAACTGCTTCAGGCCGGTCACGCACGGCCTTTTTATGGAGGGTTTTTTGAGTATTAGCTCCGCTCTTGAAGGCCCTTAGTGGGCACCCTTACCCAAGAAGACGGAAATCCGTGAGTTATGGGAGGTGTGACATTTTTAGGGCCGACCTTTACTAATTCTTCCTTCCTTGTGAGAAGGCAGCATCGCTGCAGATGCTGGTTGTCCGAGGGAAACACCTTACTGCTGTCACACCCCTCTGCAGTCAGCAGTACGACTTCGCTCTCAGACCTTGAGTAGCTGCTTTTAGTCTGATCGTTCTACAATCGACCTGTCTGGCATGGTAGAACCTTCAGGAAAATATGTTCCAGCCAATATAGCTCGGTTGGGTCATCACGATATGCAAGTCCGACCACCACGTCAAGGTAGCAGCTTCGGTCGGGATAACGATCTAACTGAAGGTAACATTATTCTCTTATATGCTCTGATCTAATTTTCATAATAGGAATCCTTTATTAGACTTTAGTTATGTGATGACGCTTTTACAAGTGAATAGCGGTTAAAAAGCCTTTATTGAATAGTGTAATAGCTTATTGTAATGCAAATATTTTTATCGTCAAGCCACATTCTTAAGTCACAAGCACAGATGAATAATGTGGAAAATGCTTAGTAACTTGTGTCTATGGTTCTACATTCATGTATCTGTGGTATAGAGTTATTGTTAAGAGTAAAAAAAAATTCTAAAAAAAGGATTTACAATCAAGTATTGATAAATAGCAACAGACAATACTGTCAACATTTACCGAACGAATAAGGGGCATAGAAAATTGTTCAGTTGACTAATTAGTTTATTATAAAAAAGTCAATTTACGATTTAATATGTACGTAATTTGAATGTTTAATTCCTTTATGAAATAGATGAAACAAGTACAACCTTCTTCACAGCCAATTACATTTACTTATTTTTTTTTATTCAAAATAAATAAGTATACAAGAAAAGCCTACGAATAAATGACAAACCTTTGGCACATTATTAATTATTTACCAAGAATAGCTAACAAGGAAAATTAGAAAACTGATATAAAATACAAATAATACTGAATTTTAATAAAATTGGATAAATAAATCCATCGATCCATTTCGCCATTTTGAATTTTTGTTACATTCCGGATGACACGATGGGCAATTAGTGAATGTGTTACACCAACGTGCTGTGCATTTAGCACAAAATTTATGCTATAAGTAAATATAAGCACATGAAAAAATGAATATTTATCATCAGCGTTAAAAAAAAACCTGAAACTATAAGCATGAAAACGGCTGTTTTTCTAAACAAAAAGGTGAGATTAAAACATGACAAACTATTGCTCATTTCTTTGAACACTAATCTACTACTAGCTGGTACGAAGCAAAATTTCTAAGCGATTGAAAGCTCAGAATACCATACTAAGTGAAATGATAGCATTTCGGTGGTAAGGGATGAAAAGTAGATATATATAAGTTGCAGTGAATGACAGTTTAACAATTGAATAATTGAGATGTTAATAATCACACATAAGTTATCTCATGGTATCTTCGATCCTGTAAAACATTATAAACCATCAACAGTACAATGAGTGGTACCGTTTGATCCAGAAGCTAACAATCCAGTGACTATGTGATAATGCAGTTCAGTTGATCATGATTGTGCAAAGGTGTAAGGTACGCATGCTCTAATAACAACTTGATCCCATCGAACCAGCGGCTTCCACATTGTGCGTTACTTGCTGACTATGAGGCTGGATATGAAAAACAGGCAGAGAGCCTCTGTATGACATGATGTCGCAGTATGAGAGTTGAATATAACTACCGTCTATTAGTTCATTACGACTCTAGTTGGAACTCTAGATGTAATGTAACTCAATGGCTAACTAGAGACGTTAGCGGACATAACTAAGAACAGGAGGCAGTGGCAATCCAATAGTAGTCTTCTTTCATATTCTTTATCAAAGAAAGGAATTTCCTTAGCTGAAAGAAATCTTTCTTGACTGTATGTTCAGCTGAATACCATTTCCTAATATATACTAAGCCTTTTAGCTACTTTTCTGATCGTATTTCCTTTCATTCCTCCAATCTTTCTCTATATTATCTCTTCATTCACGTGGTGCATGCCTTATTTTGTGCCCAACTGTACCAGAAAGTATGTGAGCTGAATAAATTTAGAAAAATCAGTTTCCCATAGAAAACTTTTTTAACAAAAATACCCGATTCATTTATTTAATAAAACCGTATGTAAGTAATACAAAAAACTTTTTCATAACTTTTACAATTATTCAGTACTGTAAACATCGACTTACATTACAAGACAGAATGCCAACATGAGTATAAGATTCAAGGCACATTTGGCAAACTTCATTTGATGGCGCCTGCAGTTCGACAGTATACGGCTATATAAAATAATTGATAAACAATGTACAAGAGTGAAAAGTCCGTGCTCTATGCTAATATTTCATAACTCCAACTTCAACATATCGTTAACTTTAAACTTCTTATATCCTCCCCCTCTAACTTAAGTAAACGGACCGGTTTCGTAATGGAAACTTTGTTCGTGACCCCAGTAGAATTAGAAACACATTTAAGTTAATCGGTTGCATATCGGTTACAGAGATCAGAATTTATGAACTGAGTGACTGTCATTCGATACAAATCATAGTAATATGCACTGGAATTTGAAAATGTGTTGAAAGTTGACCTTATATTCAACATAAATTGATATTGATTTTTGTCCAGGTTGAATTTAGGAATCACACATTTCTTATTTATCGCCTGTTGTGATTTGATAGCAGCCAATACGCCGACGACTTTTGAGTAACCAATACGCAAAAAGACGAAAGACTTGCAACTCTATGCTTGGATGATGGAACAATGCTAACTTGCGCCATCACGAGAGGCAGAGCAAAGACTAATGACCATCAGTCTAAGATTCATCACCATGTTTTAGACATCCATTTACATACACACAAAACCAATCCACATCGCAGCAATAAACGGAAACTAATAACAATACATAACTGAGCCAAAAGTGGATGTGAGTAGGGGAGAGTGTAAATAATAAATTGACAATAAAATAGGGACCTTAAATCGTATGATAATAACTTATGGGTTGATATAAAGCCTATGATAAAAAGAATATATGTAACCGATAGTTTACTTGATTAACAATTATACAATTAGACTATATAATTCTATAGTCCATAAATAGGTCCATAAATCAGTATTCATCTGGATATAACCGAGCCCTTTAAAACAACATTATTAGTCAACAATGTCTACCCTACAGTGCGTAACGTAACCAAGTAATCTGTGCAGATCTGTTCAATTTGAGGACTGTATTCATCAGAGACAGATATCAGCTAGAAAAGGACTGAAAACTGGAAAGCAATGGGTATCTGTTCAGTTTTAAGAATTCCATTGTGGGCACCCATGATCCATTGCGAGATTGGACTTTCGAGGTGAAGACTCTATAGCAACAATAACACTCTTAAATTACTAATTCGGAAAGTAATGCTCAATACTTTTTTACGACCAGTCAGTTAACGATGTCTAACAATCACAGACCTATAGCACCATTGGTAATTGTTTCGATCCGAAATGGTTGATCGACGGGGCTAGAGAACGTAACCGAAATAACATAGTGATACATCTGTTAAAGCAAGTGAACTAACCCATACAATTAAGTTATCAAGCACCAACAGACAAGTCTGCTAAGAAACATAACAGTGCAGCTACCAAAATTACTTCCAAGATGTCCGTCACCCGGAACGGATAGACGCTCTCAGACCCGTAAACACATGAGATATCAAATGGATCACAATCGAATCCTTCCTACATTTCCTAACATCTCTCCACGATTAAACCTCACATTCCTTTAGTACCCCGTACCACTAATGCAAACGATTCGAGTTCACGAAACGTTATTCCTGGTGTCCTGAATCCCTGTTCTAAACGACATGTTGGAGCATTGAATTTCCAAACATTGTGTCAAATAGGAGAACCAGCTTCCTTAGCTAGGACTTTGGAATCTCGCTCCATCGATGTACGCGCATACAGGATCCGAGTAGCACCATTCATTTGACCTCCCCACGTCAAGATAAAAAACAACTCGATTTACCCTTCGTGTATCTAGAAACCCTGATGCTGCTTCCGGGGTCTCGCTGCCGTAGGTGTAGCATTGAGTCCTAGAGCAGAACTAGCTCTCTTAGACTGTGTCCTAGTAGATAGTCGCTTATGAGCTCTCCGACTAAACAGGACAGTAAGGCCTTGGAAAGTTAGGGACACTTGCCGTTGCCTCTTCGTTGTCTCTGCCTACGCTCCCACTGAGTGCAGTTCAGCCGAGGTAAAAGATGAGTTTTACAGAAAGATCTCGGACCTCTTCCTAAAGGTCATGCGCTCTCATACAGTAATAGTAGCGGGTGATTTCAATGCTCAAGTAGGTAGACTATGTGAAAATGAAAGATACCTAGGCGGATCTTGTGGTGTCGCGGCTCGAAGATCAGATGATGGCGATAGCCTATTTTTTAGCAAATACTTACTTTAAGCACAAGGATCAACATCTCTTGACATGGTGACCCCCGAAGCTGACCCAATGATGGACCTGACTAAACCACATTGCTATCAGCCACCGATGGAGGGGTTCGATGGAAAACTGTCGCTCATTCTGGAGAATATGTTTAGATTCAGATTATGCTTTAGTGAGGGCACGCATTTGTTTGCGGCTTACTGGACGTAGCAAAGACTCTGCAAGGAAACCTCTTAGGGTTCTACTTAATGATAACAAAGCTAAGAATTTGTTTCAGGAACAACTAGAAAAACAGTTAGACAGCCATGTAGTAAGTGATGCCCACCCTGAAGCAGCTTGGAACGATATCCAAAAAGCTGTGGAGTCAATAGGGATATCTGCTAGTAAAGTAAACCATAAGGTTAGCGAGAAACAATGGATCTCGATAGCATCTGCCGAACTGATAGATGCTCGGAAACTGATCCTGCCTGACTCTGAATATGACGAAGAGCGGAGTCTGCTTAAGCAGAAGCTGAGAATAAGCCTACTTAATGATCGTGAGAAGTGGTGGGTAGCGAAAGCAAGAGTGATGGAAAAGACAGCGGCGATAGGCAACAGTGGACAACTGTCCCGCCTTATCAACTCAGGAGATTGGATCGATGGACAGATAAGTTTAGGGATCAGTTCAACTGGCCTTCAGTCACACTTCAGTTACCCACGATCTCCGGTCAACCTGGATGGCAAATCGATAAAGTCCTCTGCATGTTTATGAAGTTGAGAAAGCTATAGGAAATCTGAAGGGGGGAGAGCAGCAGGGCCTGACAGGCTTTCCCCTGAGATCGTTAGGGATGGGAGTCCGGTTTTAGCAGTAAGACCGACTGAGATCTTAGGTAGAACCCGAGAACTGGACGTAATACCATCTGAATGGTCTCAATCACTGATTATCCCAGTCTATAAGAAAGAACAGAAGTCATCTTGTGACAATCAAAGGGGAATAAGTCTAACTAAGATAGTATCTAAAATGTTGGCCTCAATAATACTAGGACGCCTAACTAGAGCTCGTGAAATGCAGACCATAGAAAAGGAGTCTGGTTTTCGAACTGGACGTGAATGTATAGACAAGATATTCACACAAGACAAGCTTCCTACTCGAACACTACTGGTCGAGTGAGAGCTCATGGTGAACTGTCATCGGAATCGGTTACTTGTAGTGGTATCCGTGAGGGCTGTCCACTTTCTCCGTTCTTGTCTAACTTTATCATTGACGTGCTTTTAGAGATAACACTATCTTCGTCTGACTTCTCAGGGGTGGTTCTTCTACCATGAGACTCGCTTATTGACTTAGAATATGCCGATGACATAGTTCTATTTGGTGAAGACACTGACAAAATGCCTAGTCTTCTGACTACTGTAGGCAACAGTGCCAGCATGTTTGGGATGCGACTCTCTCTGCAAAGTGTTGCTTCAGGATTGGCTTGCGACGGCACTTGAACTACTGATAGGGGGTGAAGTTGTTGGGCGTGTCGACCGCTTCACTAATCTTGGGAGTCTTATCAGTTCTGATGGCTGAAATCTTAGCACGTGGACTGAAGGCTTGATTGGCTTTTATTAACTTGTGTCACTTATGGCGTAGGCGAGATATCCGTTCGCTAACCAAAGGACGAGTGTATTGCGCAACAGTTCGCTCCGTCCTACTGTATGGATGCGAACCATGGCCAGCAAGAATTGAGGATATTCGTAGGTTATTAGTATTCGATAATAGGTATCTTTGAATCATTGCTCATCACCTTTTATCTTTTTAAGTTTATTTCACTAGATTATACTTTTTGAATAATATCTCCGAACCCTAATCTTTCCGATTACTGCTAATACTTCTAATATCTCTACTACTGTAGGATTTAACTTGACAATTGCGTCTCTGTGCTAATGTGATATGGCAACTTGACCTGCCGTATGTACGTACGAAGTTCTGCGTTGTAACGGACTATGTAAAATTACCATAATGCCTAAAAAGTGCTTGAAACAGTGCATTCCTTTATTACCTAAGAGAAATCTGTCAAAAATGCTAAGGATGGTTTGGTGAAGAAATGTTAAGAAAATTTTACTTACTTTTGTACATATTGTTGAAAGTGAAGACTTCATGAACTCTTTACACAATGAAAGTAAAATACAAACCTGTAAGGAAGCAGAAAATGACGTGTTTAGAAAAAGGATAACCTTCAATTACCTAGTAAGTCTAAAGATTTTAAGCGAACTCATTTCGTACATTCTCATATATATATATATATATATATATATATATATATATATATATATATATATATATATATATAGAGAGAGAGAGAGAGAGAGAGAGAGAGAGAGAGATAGATAGATAGATACAACAACAGAGAACTACGAATGTACGTACATAATTTCAGGTTGCTATACCGCATTAGCACTGTCAGGTCAAATTTAATAGTGATAGCGATAGTAGAAGTATTTAGCAGCAATGGAGAAGATTAGGGTACGAAGATATGAGTCGATAAGTATCGTTCACTGAGATAACTTTAAAAACATAAAGATGATGAAGAGGCCAGTAAGTTAGAATTTCAAAAAAATCAAAGAGTGGATGCACCTGCGCCATTGCAAACGATTTTGAGCCGCGTCATTCAATCCATAACCATTGGTTAATATCGTCTCGTGGAAAACAACCCCTGAGAAGTCAGACGAAGATAGTGTTATCTCTAAAAGCACGTCAATGATAAAGTTAGACAAGAACGGAGAAAGTGGACAGCCCTCACGGATACCACTACAAGTAACCGATTCCGATGACAGTTCACCATGAGCTCTCACTCGACCAGTAGTGTTCGAGTAGGAAGCTTGTCTTGTGTGAATATCTTGTCTATACATTCACGTCCAGTTCGAAAACCAGACTCCTTTTCTATGGTCTGCATTTCACGAGCTCTAGTTAGGCGTCCTAGTATTATTGAGGCCAACATTTTAGATACTATCTTAGTTAGACTTATTCCCCTTTGATTGTCACAAGATGACTTCTGTTCTTTCTTATAGACTGGGATAATCAGTGATTGAGACCATTCAGATGGTATTACGTCCAGTTCTCGGGTTCTACCTAAGATCTCAGTCGGTCTTACTGCTAAAACCGGACTCCCATCCCTAACGATCTCAGGGGAAAGCCTGTCAGGCCCTGCTGCTCTCCCCCCTTCAGATTTCCTATAGCTTTCTCAACTTCATAAACATGCAGAGGACTTTATCGATTTGCCATCCAGGTTGACCGGAGATCGTGGGTAACTGAAGTGTGACTGAAGGCCAGTTGAACTGATCCCTAAACTTATCTGTCCATCGATCCAATCTCCTGAGTTGATAAGGCGGGACAGTTGTCCACTGTTGCCTATCGCCGCTGTCTTTTCCATCACTCTTGCTTTCGCTACCCACCACTTCTCACGATCATTAAGTAGGCTTATTCTCAGCTTCTGCTTAAGCAGACTCCGCTCTTCGTCATATTCAGAGTCAGGCAGGATCAGTTTCCGAGCATCTATCAGTTCGGCAGATGCTATCGAGATCCATTGTTTCTCGCTAACCTTATGGTTTACTTTACTAGCAGATATCCCTATTGACTCCACAGCTTTTTGGATATCGTTCCAAGCTGCTTCAGGGTGGGCATCACTTACTACATGGCTGTCTAACTGTTTTTCTAGTTGTTCCTGAAACAAATTCTTAGCTTTGTTATCATTAAGTAGAACCCTAAGAGGTTTCCTTGCAGAGTCTTTGCTACGTCCAGTAAGCCGCAAACAAATGCGTGCCCTCACTAAAGCATAATCTGAATCTAAACATATTCTCCAGAATGAGCGACAGTTTTCCATCGAACCCCTCCATCGGTGGCTGATAGCAATGTGGTTTAGTCAGGTCCATCATTGGGTCAGCTTCGGGGGTCACCATGTCAAGAGATGTTGATCCTTGTGCTTAAAGTAAGTATTTGCTAAAAAATAGGCTATCGCCATCATCTGATCTTCGAGCCGCGACACCACAAGATCCGCCTAGGTATCTTTCATTTTCACATAGTCTACCTACTTGAGCATTGAAATCACCCGCTACTATTACTGTATGAGAGCGAATGACCTTTAGGAAGAGGTCCGAGATCTTTCTGTAAAACTCATCTTTTACCTCGGCTGAACTGCACTCAGTGGGAGCGTAGGCAGAGACAACGAAGAGGCAACGGCAAGTGTCCCTAACTTTCCAAGGCCTTACTGTCCTGTTTAGTCGGAGAGCTCATAAGCGACTATCTACTAGGACACAGTCTAAGAGAGCTAGTTCTGCTCTAGGACTCAATGCTACACCTACGGCAGCGAGACCCCGGAAGCAGCATCAGGGTTTCTAGATACACGAAGGGTAAATCGAGTTGTTTTTTATCTTGACGTGGGGAGGTCAAATGAATGGTGCTACTCGGATCCTGTATGCGCGTACATCGATGGAGCGAGATTCCAAAGTCCTAGCTAAGGAAGCTGGTTCTCCTATTTGACACAATGTTTGGAAATTCAATGCTCCAACATGTCGTTTAGAACAGGGATTCAGGACACCAGGAATAACGTTTCGTGAACTCGAATCGTTTGCATTAGTGGTACGGGGTACTAAAGGAATGTGAGGTTTAATCGTGGAGAGATGTTAGGAAATGTAGGAAGGATTCGATTGTGATCCATTTGATATCTCATGTGTTTACGGGTCTGAGGGCGTATGTCACTTCCCAGTGTCCCACACTATTGAAGATAGATAGATAGATACAACGCAGAACTTCGTGCCTCAGTGCATCAGTTCAGGTTGCATACCACATCAGCACAGAGACGCAACTGTCAGTTCGAATCCAAGAGTGATAGCGATAGTAGAAGTGTTAGCAGTAAGGTGTGAAGATATGATTCGAGAAGTACGATTCAGTGAGATAAATGTAGAAGGAGAAAGGTAGAGATTATGAGGAATTCAGAAGTTTAGAATTAGAGAGAACACAAACAGTGGATGCACTTGCGCCATTGCATACGATTCTCAGCCATGTCGTTCAAGGTCTCTAATCACCGGTGACTTTCGTCTCGTGGACCCCAACCAGGTAGCCTACATCTACCGACATGACTCAGTCCACTTGTCAGTGACTTCACGGATTTCTGACATGTTTTGGTTTGGCCGCCCCTATCTACACTATTGAAGGGTACCTCTTCGAGGAGCCTGAAGAGGAAATAGGATTAGCGTTAGTCTGAGCAACCTGGGAGCGTGACCGGAGAGCCCAAGTAACAACTAATTGAAGCCGATCAAGCAGGACTTTTTATGGTAGGTTGGTTAAGTGTTAGCTACAGTCTTAAAAATGCCTTAACAACGGAGACGGAAATCCGTGAGGTAAGGTGAGGTGTAACATTTTTAGGGTTGACCTTTTCTAATACTTTCATCCCTTCCTTGTGAGAAGGCAGCATCGCTGCAGATGCTGATTGTCCGAGGGGAACACCTTATTGCAGTCACACCCCTACACAGTCGGAAGTACGACTTCACCCTCAGATCTTGAGTTGCTGCTTTTAGTCTCGCCGTTCTGCAATTAATCTGCCTGGCATCGCAGAACCTACAGGAACATATGTTCCGTCCAATACAGCTCGGTTGGGTCATCACGATAGGCAAGCCCGACCACTACGTCTAGGTAGCGGCTATAGTTGGGTATGTTATGCAATATAAATCATAAACGCGAAATCAGCCGATAACAGTCTATTCCCGTTTACTTACAGTAGACTAACACTATGAATACAGATTTCACATTATACGTAATAAAAAACCAACCGATAAAGACTAATATATTATCTTATAAAATTAAGTAAGATGTGAACGGGGCACCTAATGATGTTAAAAACGTTCTACATTACACACAACTCTTATATCATTATTATGACGTAACTCACTTTCAAGATACAATACAATAAGCATACAAATATTCTCCCAGCCATAACTCCTTGTAATTTCCAATTTATTTCTAGCAGGAAACATATCCACAGAATTCCAGGAGGTAAGTGTCTTAGGAATAAGAACATATATTCCAGAAAACAGAGTAATGAACCCTGAAAGGGAAATGATGAAGGGAAATAAATATTACAATGAACAAAAAGTTGGACAACCATGGTTATGATGTACGTATACTTATATAATCAGCAGTTGACGGAGGATGCTTTGAACTTCAAGCATACCTAACAGCACGGGTAATAGACTGATAAAAAGTAATTAGAATGATAAAGACGTGATTATCTACCCTGATTCTATAGTCATAAAGTGTATTTGAACCTGGATGGCCCCAATGTGATGAAGGAAACACTAAATGCTTCATTACGAGGCATCACGATTAGGATCTTCTTGACTTATGTTGTCTTTTTTGACTGATTTCTCCGATGACCTCAGTGAGTATTGTTAAGTTTACTACTAGTGCAGAATCCGAAATGTGTGCAATAACTGTTGTTACCATAAAAAAATCAGAAATAATTTATGTAGATAACATGGATTGATATCAGACTGCTACATCACACACGTATACAATACTTCACTAGATGGGGGACTTAGAAATCAAACTACTGTTGAAACACAATTAAGGACAGTCGGCTGTACATGAGTGAATAGAACCCACAATAGCACCTTTCAACTAAAAGCATTACACTAGTTAAGGTCGTAAAAGGTCCTGAATTTTACCACTTTATTAATCGTAATGCTACACTCCTGAATTACTTGGGACTTTTATTTGATCCCACTACAGAAATGAAACTGTAATTTGTAGAGTATATATTACGGCCACAGATACGGCATGTGCTTTGCACCTTCTAAGTGCAAAGTACTTATACAAAACTGGCAGGACCAGAGTGGCTTATGTCAATCTAAGCAATCTTTACCGCATTTGTGGTGCTATTCTATCCGTAAAACGTCAGACTATAACGCATCGGTAAGAGTAGTTTCGTTCTATCCTTGTGAAATATGACTTCTCCAAGTTGAGGATGCTAAACGACCCTCTATGTCAGATCATCGTTGTATCCGAAGAATTGCTAGCATTCAATAGCAACACTATGTGAATAGTACAGAGGCTCAGGTACGTGTCCCGACCGAAGCTGCTACCTTGACGTGGTGGTCGGGCTTGCCTATCGTGATGACCCAACCGAGCTATACTGGCTGCCACATGTTCCTGCAGGTCCTACCATGCCAGGCTGGTCGATTGGAGAACGATGAGACTAAAAGCAGCTACCCAAGGTCTGAGGGCGAAGTCGTACTGCTGACTGCAGAGGGGTGTGACAGCAGTAAGGTGTTTCCCTCGGACAACCAGCATCTGCAGCGATGCTGCCTTCTCACAAGGAAAGACCGGTTAGAAAAGGTCGACCCTAAAAATGTCACACTCCGCCTAACTCACGGATTTCCGTCTCCTTGGGTAAGGGTGCCCACTAAGGGCCTTTAAGAACGGAGCTAATTCTCAAAATACCTTTCATAAAAAGGCCGTGCGTGACCGGCCTCAAGCAGTTGTCCCTTGGGCTCTGCGGTCACGCACCAACACTAATCCATCTTCCTTTTCAGGTCCCTCAAGAAACAACCTTCCACGGTGTGGGCAGCCGGGAAGTGACAACCGCCCTCATACCCATAACAGCACGCGAGACCAAATTGGTCAAAATCAAATCCTTCCTACACCCCCTAATGTCTCTTTTATCTCTACGACTAACTCTACTCACACTCCCTTTTCTCACTGCACCGCTAATGCAGACGAAGCGAGATCACGAAACGTCGTTCCTGGTCTCTTGAAACCCCGTTCTAGACTACATATTGGAGCTTTTAATGTACGGACATTGTGTCAAATAGGGCAACAGGCATCATTAGCTAGGACTTTAGAAACTCGTGCCATCGATGTATGCTGCGTCTCGGAAACGCGCATACAGGATCCTAGTAAAGTCATTAACCTGACTCCACCTTGTCAAAACGAAGAAGCAGCTCGATTTACTCTTCGGGTATCCGGTAGCCCTGATGCTGCTTCCAGGGGTCTTGCTGGTGTAGGCATAGCGTTGAGTCCTAGGGCAGAATTATCTCTCCTAGACTGGATCCCAGTAGATAGTCGTTTGTGCGCTGTCCGACTAAACGGGACAGTAAGGACTCGGAAGGATAGGGACACTCGCCGTTGCCTCTTCGTCATATCTGCCTATGCCCCCACTGACTGCAGTGCAGACGAGGTTAAGGATGAGTTTTACAGAAAGCTTTCGGACCTCCTCCAAAAAGCTAAGCGCTCTGACATAGTAATAATGGCTGGTGACTTTAATGCTCAAGTAGGTATACTAGGTGAAAAGGAAAGACATCTTGGTGGATGTTATGGTGTAGCGACTGAGAGAACAGACAATGGTGACCGTCTGTTGCAACTGTGCTCAGATAACCGCCTATTCTTAGCGAACACCAACTTTAGGCATAAGGAAAAGCATCTGTTGACCTGGCGACCTCCAAAGTCGTCTCAACGTTGGACTCAACTAGATCACATCGCCATCAGCCACCGATGGAGGGGTTCGATAGAAGACTGTCGCTCGTTCTGGAGCACATGTTTGGATTCAGATCATGCTCTAGTGCGAGCTCGTATCTGTTTAAGGCTTACTGGACGTAGGAAAGACACCGTAAGAAAGCCTCTTAGGGTTTTACTTAATGATAATAAAACCAAGAAAATATTTCAGGAGCAACTAGAAAGAGAGTTAAGCAACCATGCAAGCGATTCCCATCCAGAAGCAGGTTGGTATGATATCAAAAAGGCTGTGGAAACAGCAGTGATATCTGCCAGGAAGGTAAACCATGAGGCTAGGATGAAGCCGTGGATTTCAGTCGCATCCACCGAACTGATGGATGCTCGAAAACGCATCCCACCTGACTCTGAGCATGATGAAGAGCGTAGTCAGCTTAGGCGCAGACTTATAAAAAGTCTGCGTAACGACCGCGAACAGTGGTGGGTGGCGAAAGCAAAAGCGATGGAAAAGGCAGCGGCGATCGGCAACAGTAGACAACTTTTCCGCCTTATTAAAGAAACTGGTATTAAGAACCCGAATGTGAGTGAGACTATCTCGGAAAAGGATGGTCTTATTATCCATTCTCAATCCAGGAGGCTGGATCGATGGGCAGAACACTTTAGGGATCAGTTCAACTGGCCACGAGCCACTCTTCAGTTACCCACGATCTCCAGTCATCCTGAATGGCAAATCGACGTAAGTCCCCCTAGTCTTTATGACGTTGAGAAAGCGTTAGGAAATCTGAAACGAGGACGAGCTGCAGGTCCTGATAGACTGACCCCTGAGATATTCAGGGATGGTGGTCCAGTTTTAGCAGCTAGATTGACTGAGATCTTAGGTAAAATCTGGGAACTGGACGTAATCCCATCCGACTGGTCTCAATCCTTGATAGTCCCAATCTATAAGAAAGGACAAAAGTCTTCTTGTGACAATCACAGAGGAATAAGTCTAACTAATATAGTATCTAAAATATTGGCCTCAATAATACTTCGACGCTTAACGAAAGCTCGTGAAGAGCAGACTCGAGAAAACCAGGCTGGTTTTCGACCTGGACGTGGCTGTATAGACCACGTCTTCACACTCAGACAGGTCCTGGAACATAGACACACATTTAGGCGTCCTACAATAGTTGTTTTCCTGGACCTTAAGGCGGCATTTGACTCTGTTGATCGTGAGGTTCTGTGGCAGTGTCTGTCATTGAAAGGTGTACCACAGAAGTACATTAACCTCATACAAGCTCTCTACTCAAACACCACTGGTCGGGTGAGGGCTTATGGCGAACTGTCACCGGAATTCTCTACATCAAGTGGTGTCCGTCAGGGATGTCCACTTTCTCCATTCTTGTTTAATTTTATCATAGACATGCTCCTAGACATAACATTATCCTCGTCTGAATTTTCAGGAGTAGACCTTTTACCAGGTGGCTCGCTTATTGACTTAGAATATGCCGATGACATAGTCCTACTTGGTGAAGACGCTGACAAAATGCAGAGTCTTCTGACTACCCTAAGCAACAATCCAAGCATGTTCGGGATGCGGTTTTCCCCCTCCAAATGCAAAATGTTGCTTCAAGACTGGGTTGCATCGGCACCTGAACTAGTGATAGGGAGTGAAGTGGTTGAACGTGTAGACCGCTTCACTTATCTGAGGAGTCTCATCAGTGCCGATGGCCTGGTGACTGACGAAATCTCAGCTCGGATACAGAAGGCTCGATTGGCTTTTGCCAACCTGCGTCACTTATGGCGTAGGCGAGATATCCGTTTGCTGACTAAAGGACGAGTGTACTGCGCAGTAGTTCGCTCCGTCTTACTTTATGGCTGTGAAACATGGCCAGTGAGAGTAGAAGATATTCGTAGGTTACTGGTTTTCGATCATAGGTGTCTTCGAAGCATTGCTCGTATATCGTGGGACACCCGAGTGAGCAACGCTGTTATTAGGAATCGGGTGCTAGGTAAGAATGGCAGATCAATCGATGAAGTATTGAAACTTCACCAGTTGAGGTGGTTGGGACATGTGTTGCGTATGCCCAACCACCGGCTGCCTCGAAGAGCTTTGTTTTGTAGTGTAGGAGTAGTTTGGAAGAAAGTTAGGGGCGGCCAAACCAAAACATGGCAGAAATCCATGAAGTCATTGACTAGTGGACTGAGCCATGTCGGTAATTGTCGACTACCTGGTTGGGGTCCGCGAGATGATAATAATCGATGGTTAGAGACCTTGAATGACATGGCTCAAAATCGTTCGCAATGGCGCCAGTGCATTTATTCTCTGTGTTCTCCCAAATGCTAATCTTCTGGATTCTTCAACACCTCTAGTTTCGACTCTCTAAACTTTTCTCACTGAATCATACTTCTTGAGTAGTATCTTCTAATCCTAACCTCTCCGATTATTTCTAATTCCCTTACTACCTCTTCTACTATTGGATTTGAATTGACGATTACTTCTCTGTGCTGATGTGGTATGGCGACATGAACTGATGTACTTATGTACAAAGTTCTACGTTGCATCTGACTGACTGACTGACAGGTACGTGTGCTCGGGCACAGCAAAAATAGTTCAAATTGTGTCATCATTTTGAAACACTGACTTCGGTGGCCTGGACATGTACTGCGAGTGCCATCGCAGTAAATTTCATTGCCAACTGGATGGAAAAAGGAGAGAAGTAGTATGGCATAAAATCATGTTATGAAGGAAAGCCGTTAAGTACTGGCTTCTGTAGGTCCTTGATCACCAAGAGATGTTGCGACTGAGTGGCCTAAGATGTTATCATATATGGTTCAAAACAGCAGCAACTGGCGGTCTTACTGTTTGTCTGATTTTTTCACATATCTAAGAGGTATTTCTTCACCTGGAAGAGTCCTTTTCAGTTGCACCTTCCAAAACTAAACTGTTTATCCTACCATTATTCCTGCTATTTCACTCTCATACATTAATTTCAACTCATTTTCTTTGTTATACTCACTGCTCTTCCTTTATCTATTCACAACCACATTTTTATTAAGACGCATATACCTCCTTGTACGAATATTTGTGTTTTGAATCAGTCAGCTGCAACGTAGAACTAGGTGCGTACGTACATCAGTTCAAAAGGTCATACTATATTAGCACAGAGAGATGGAATTGTCAATTCAAATCCTATTGTAGTAGAGTCTGCAATAGTATTAGTGGTAATCAGAAAAATGAAGGATTAGAAATGTGATTTCAGAAGTATATCCCGGTGAAATAAATTTAAAAATAGAAAAAACGGTCATGCGGAATTCAGAATATTGGGATTTGAGAGAGCACAAAGAGTGGATGCACCTGCGCCAGCGATCTTGAGGTACGTCATTTAAGGTCTCTAACAATCAGTTACTATCGTCTCGCGGAATCCAACCAGATATTCTACACCTAATAACATGGCTATATGGATTGGTGCCATGTGTTTTAAAATAAAACTACCAGGTTGAGAATCTTTACCAGACACACTGGTTAAAGTTGCCTACTGTGATTAAAGTTATAGTCCGCCTTCACTATATGAAAGTTTTTTAAATATATCAAGTTGCTAAAGGTCAGTAAAACTTCGCAACCCCATCCCGAACTAACTAGTAGAGAAACCCCTTCACAGTTACTCCTCGATAGCTTGAGAGTAGTGCAACCAGTTGATTGTAAATTTGAAACCCAATTTACTTAGGGTTTTGGTGATGAGAGAGTATAACTAGTCCCCACCCAGAAAATGTGGCATAACGTAAACACGAGATGGAACCTGTTTATGGAAGATATTGCATCAAGATAGAGTTTACAAGTTTATCTATTCAAGCTAGCATACTACTAATTTCATGTTTGTAATAGATTACCGGTACTCACGTTTTAACTCACTGATGAAATCTGTGTACAAATAGGCCATTAAGACAAAAAGCCAAACTCTAAAGTGACACCACAACAGTAGGTGAACTAGAGCTGTGTCCAGCCAGTGAATGACAGGAAAATAAGTAACACTCAAAATGCCTAATTCCTTAAATTGCCAACACATAAAAAGTACAAAAATTTCTTAAGACCCGATAAAATTAACCTACCATAGAGTAACAATCAAGTGTTTTAGACACGGAAAACAAAGATATGCTCTTGATAAATATCGACAACAGTTTTAATGAGCAGTCGGAGACGAATATATACCACAAAGTTAGTGGTAGACTCGATACTGAACTAGAAGGCTGAAGTATAAAACTGTAAGTGTCAATGCTGAGAATATGAGAGCTTACATGTCATATAAGCCCTGAGTCCATAAAGAGTACTGAACTAAACCTAAATGCGTGAGTGAGACGATGGATAAGAAAAGGCAAATCTTCCGATATGACTGATCAAAAAAACCTATAAATGTCAATTAAGCCAAGTATTAGCCCAGTCAGCATAGGCTCGAGGAACCATCGAGGCACTCGACACACCCCAGGCTACCTCAAATGGAAAATCATATCCGTGAAGCTGCCAGGAGAGTTGCGAGACTACCTCCAAGATCCGGAGTAATGCTGCCTGGGAGTTATCGGAATTACTTGTTTGCATCTCCGAATTCATGAAGAGGACCGTAATGTATGCCCATGATGCCAGAACAATATCTATAAAAATAAATTGTCAATATGATTTACGGACTAGTAAAATATTCTCCATAGAGCTTCAGAACAATCAGTGAGATAAAACAGATGTGACAAATATTATGAAACGAGAGAAGATGATCCTTCTTCGTTTTCTTTTCTGTAGAAAATTCATCATGGGTAGGAATAACAGGTAAGACACCAAGCTGAGGTTGAACCATCTAACATTAACAGCTGACCTAGAACTTGCGAAGTCCAATATCTTTTCCACGGGCTAGCATCAACCCATTGATTTCTTTGAGCTCGCTTCTTGTTACTTCGGTACGGTTTCAGGAATTTTAGAAACGTCCATTTGTTCGAAGTGAAGCCAGTCGATTGTAATAATTCTGATCAATCTGATAGTTAAGGATTTATATGATATACACTTTGAATAAGTGCATTTGTCTCAGAGCAGTGGGGTTTTTGAATATCAAAAACTATCACATTACCAAGCTTCTTGATGTGCAATTTTTTAAAGGCTAACTCTGAGGGGGTGGTGATAATTTACTGGTAGGGTGCTCTTGTTGGGATATTTTGGAATAATTAATAAGTTGTAAGCCATTATCGAACCACACGTATCGGTTAACAGATTCCTGAAACAAATTGTTTTGTATGGCTTCAACATTGATACTGATCTGGTTAGTTTTACTAGACACTCTATTGGAAGCTCTCGGTCACGTATACAAACCAGATCACCCTGGGGTACACCATGCAAGACGTCTCTTCGCATCAAACATCAGGCGTAGTTCACTGAATCCTCGGAACCTCAATCATCGTTCAGATATACATTCAGTCGGCATTCAGTTCTGACTTCCAGTTCAACTAGGCCTTCAGTATTAGGGACAAAAGTGTTGTGCAAATTTGATGAATGTTTTGAACTAAATAAGTTAATTTGTTGGTAATGCATATAATGTGAGAGGACCAAATTGTAAGGTGAAGACAGGAAACAGAGATGATAATAAGCAAGACAGAATAAGCTAGTAAAATAAAGTAGTTAGAAACATAACAACAAACAAGTTTAGAGACATACATCAGGGATGACCGGCTAAAGAGGGAGATTTTAATCCATATTTGAGTTCGTGTTCGTCAGGTCTTCTCTTAAAGCTATCCACTAGGTAGCTGTTGCCATCTTATCTGGGAAAGAATTCCAACTAGGTGCAAAGGTAGGAGCCAACCAGGGTTTGTTCTTTGGTGTGAGAATATCTTGAAGGGGATGGTGGTGATGTGTTGGTAGGATTCTTGCGATAGGGTGACGTGGAGTACTTGACACGTTGTTAATCACTATAAAATCATCTCTTAGTCTCCTGCAACTCAGTGAGACTAGTCCTAAGTTTTGCAGTCTGTCTGCGTAAGACTTATTCGCTAACCTCATCACTTATTTAGTTGCTTGTCTCTCCACTTAATCTATGGGATGGTGCCACAGTTTCGTGAACTTCAAGGTAGAGCCGTGTGCAGGATAGTTAGGAACAAGTCTACAATGAGTAGTTCTATGGCTATAGCACCAAGCTGTCTTAGCATAAAGTGGAGAGTTGTGTTATCCTTGGCTGCGTCCTCTACATAGTTCAAACTGGTTTTATGCTTTCAGTGGTTATTAGACCAAAATCGGACTCTGAGGAGACATTAAGGAGCGGACTTATATAGAGTTATTTGTGTCACGTGGCGCAGAATTTTCATAACATGATATGTTGACTGGCTAAGTTTTAACCCGTTGTGCACTGCCCTCCCTCTGTTGTTGTAAGATCCTTTTGATTCCCTTCGCTTCTTCTGGACCTCCAGTTCTTTGTTTCATCTGCATTGTTTAGTGCCGTTGGACTAATTTTGTCTAATAAGTCATTAATAAATATCAGAAATAGGGGTGAACCCAAGATGATCTATCGTGAATTTCCAGCCTTGGTGCGAAAATGTGTTATCTAGGCAGTTTCTGAGCCAAAAGAGAAGTGGATTTGTGAAACCCGTTTCCGCAATCTTCACTATTGGTTGTACGTAGGGTATTGTGTGGAAAGCTTTTGCGAAGTCAGAAAATATTGTATGAACTTGTAAATTCTGGTCCCACCTCCCATGTTATTAGGAGATTGGATGCTTATGACTTGGCTTCCCCAGACCTTTCGTTGGACTTCATGGAAGATGTTGCCAATATCCATGTACTCTCTCACTTGACCACTCACCGATCCTGCCATCAACTTCGACAGTGTCAGTTGTGGTCCGGATCATATTAGATCTTTCCTATTTCCTCATGTGAAGAATGAAGAGGGCGTATATAGTGACTTTCCAGACAGCAAGGATTTGATTTTTCTCAGACCACCTGCTGGTATTTCGGTTGGGTGTTGCTCTGAGATTGCGAGTAACTGGTTCAACCGGTCGGTGAAGCTGACATGGAAGATCTCCACCATCTCTAAGTTGGTAACATTATTGCCATTTAGACCTTTAAAAGCACAAACATTCTAGTTAGTAGGTCTTCTTTTAGTTACTGACCTAAGGAGATATTTTTGGTTTGTCTGCATTGTGGCTGCTAGTTTCTCGAGAAGGCACTTTCTATCGCTTTGAACTCTAGCACTGCATCTGTTTCTAAAAGATGAATAAGAACTACGACCAGAATCCTTTACAGAAGTTTTCCACTTGTAATTAATAATAATAATAATTCGTTCTCAAATAACAACATGTTACGAGAGGCATGCCAATTTACAGGCACGATCATAATGCTAAGATTGCTAACGTATTTTTGTATAACGTTGTCCAGTTACTGAAATATTTCATAAGATAAACTGGCTCCATCTAGGGAGCTAAGATTTTCCACATAAAATTATTGATAATTCTCCAGACTCTGCAATAACAAAAATGAATAATTGGCGCGAGTTACAACGGTTTCGTTTCGATGAACTGCTAATAGCTGCGAAACAACCCAAGGTAGATCCATGTCTACATATAACAAGAATTGATGAGGTGAATGTAATAAGATATTGTAGACATTCATCAGCTAATATATTTACAGGCTCCTGGGTTAAGTAGCCAATGCTACCAGTGAGAAAGAGAAACAAAGAGAGAGGGGCGAGGAGCAGAACAGAAAATATTCGTGTTTAAAGCCGAACAACGGTTTACTTACTTACTTTACTTTCTCCTGTTACCCCCCATGGAGCATAGGCCGCCCACCAGTTTTCTCCAACCAACTCTGTCCTAGGCTTCCATTTCCAATTCTGACCAATGTTTGTTCATCCTTCTCATATCTTCCTCTATTTCTCGGCGTAATGTGTTCCTTGGCCTTCCTCTTTTCCTTTTGCCTTGAGGGTTCCATGTGAGGGCTTGTCTCGTGACGCAGTTAGGTGCTTTTCGTAGTGTGTGTCCTATCCACTTCCATCTCTTCTTCCTGATTTCCTCCTCCGATGGAATCTGACTTGTTCTCTCCCACAGTTCGTTGTTGCTGATGGTGTCTGGCCAACGAATACGAAGTATTTTGCGTAGACAACTGTTAATAAACACTTGTATCTTCTGAATGATGGCTTTGGTAGTTCTCCATGTTTCCGCTCCAGTAGACAGTAGAACTGTCTTCACATTTGTATTGAAAATCCTGATTTTGGTTTTGTTACATCTGCATCGGATCCACCTTTCTCGTCGATGATGCTGCCCAGATATGTAAAGTTCTTAACGTCCTCGAAAGCATCTCCATCAAGAGTGATTTGGTTGGTGCATGTTGTGTTGCATCGGAGAATTTTGCTTTTTCCTTTATGTATGTTGAGACCTACTGCTGCAGAGGCTGCTGCTACACTGGTCGTCTTCTCTTGCATTTGCATTACCTCAAAAGAGTCTGTCAGCTGACCTCCGTGCACGATTTTGCAGTTGAATCCATCATAAGAATTCCGTATGATGTTGACTATTTTCTCAGGCACACCGTAGTGTCGAATAAGCCTCCACAGTGTTTTCCTATCCACGCTATCGAATGCTTTCTCGTAGTCGATGAAGTTCATGTAGAGTGGTGAGTTCCATTCAATTGATTGTTCCACAATGATCCGTAATGTAGCAATTTGGTCAGTACACGATCGATCCTTACGAAATCCGGCATGTTGTTCTCGAAGTTGGGCGTCTATGATGTCCTTCATTCTGTTTAACAATACTCTGTTGAAGACTTTGCCTGTTATTGAGAGAGGAGTGATGCCTCTGTAGTTCTCACACTTGCTGAGATAGCCTTTCTTTGGTATTTTGATCAGGTATCCTTCTTTCCAATCTGATGGTACTTGTTCCTCATCCCAAATCTTCTTGAAGAGGATGTAAAATATTTTCGCAGTTGCTTCCACGTCTGCTTTCATTGCCTCTGCTGGAATATTGTCTGGTCCTGCTGCTTTACCGCTCTTGATTTTTCTGATGGCCATACTGATCTCCTCAATTGTAGGTGCCCCCTCTCTTGGTTCTCACATCCTCCATAGTCCTTCTGAACTTTTTATTGATACAGATATGGTCAATTTGGTTCTGAGTAGTACGGTCCGGTGAAATCCATGTGGCTTTGTATATGCGTTTGTGTGGGAATATGGTGCCGCCTATGACCAGTTTGTTGAAGGTACATAGGTTTGCAAATCTCTCACCGTTTTCGTTCCTTTCTCCTAGTCCATGTCGTCCCATGATGTCTTCATATCCAGTGTTGTCCGTGCCAACCTCGGCATTTAGATCTCTCATCAGAATCGTCAAATCCTTTGGTGAGCATCTGTCGAGGATTGACTGCAGCCTTTCGTAGAATTGATCTTCAACGTCATCATTGTAGTCATTGGTAGGTGCACAGCATTGGATGACGTTCATTGTAATCTCCTCTTTCTTCGTTTTGAAGGATAGTTTAATGATCCTGGGTCCATGAGATTCCCATCCTATCAGTGCCTTTTGTGCTTGTTTGGACAGCATCAGTGCAACTCCCTGTGTATGTGAAGCATTTTCCTCTTCATGAGCAGAGTATAACAGCAGTTCCCCTGAAGCTAGTCTCAGTTGTCCTATCTGTGTCCAATGCGTTTCACTGATGCCGAGCACCTGGAGTTTGTATCTTTTCATTTCTGCCGCAACTTGAAGTAGTCTTCCAGTTTCCCAAATTGTACTAAATTTCCATGTACTTAGAAGAATGGTTGCTCTGGTTGTCAGAAGGGGCATCACCCTCGTGAATTCCGAGGGAACTCGGATTTCATCACGGGACGTCATAATTCTTCTTCCAACTCCCAGGGCAGAGTTAAAATGGTTTGAATTATTTGTTCTGGTTAGCGTTTTTTGGCAAGTTAGTTTTAGTTGGGATGGGGGCGCCAACCACATGTCCAACCCCTCTTCATTTATCCGGGCGTGGGACCGGCAGTAGCCTCGAAAGTACTACAGGCGGAGTTCGAACAATAATTTAGCATGTAGTTTTTAATTAGAACACTATTTGCACAGCTGCACTTTTGTAGGTTAATGAAGAGAAGTTACTATTAAGTTAACGAATAGGCAATTAATCATATGAATAAAGTAAATTCAGAAGCGCTGAAGTGTTAATAATAATGTTGATTTACAGAATATATTAATGAAGCACAGCAATCTAATTCTTTAGTGATATTTTATCTATTCTTTTTCTTTTTAACTCTGTAGCTCAAGATGTCATGAGTGACCTCTTTTTCGGTATGATTGTCCAGATCTGCTTGTGATAGG